ACCGACTATTCGTTGCGAAAATTGCCGCTCTTTTGTCCCAATTTAGTGAAATTCAACTTTCAATCCAAAGAGACGGGTTTGGGTGTGACGGACACCACGATCGAGAGCTTTAGTCAACTCAAGCACTTGGAGTTTCTCGGGTTCCGCAACTTCGACAATATCGGCGATTCTGTGATAGCAGTGATCAAGTCGTGCCCAAAACTGAGTGCATTGTATTTACACAACTGCAACAATGTTACCAACAAAGTGGTGGACGCACTCATCGCCGCCGCTAAGAGTCAACCAAATAAGCGAATCAAATACGACATCACATCCACTAATCTTAAGAAACGGAAGAAAAAACTTCCCTCTAATCTAATCCATTGCTCAAAGAAATAACTCTTACTTTTTAATTACTAATTGAAAAGCAAAACACTTAATTCAATTCTATTGTCGATTAAATAATTTATTTTCACATCTAATCGAAAACATACGTCAGTTTGGAAATCGCGGCACACAATCACATGTGTGTATCGATCACTAATTTCAGTTCACATTCCCGTCTCTTTTTAGTTACTTTTCTCTCTTCTGATTTTCATTCAATTTTTTGTTATAAATTGAGTTTAAAATAATTATTTAATGTTTACCTCATATTTCATTTGATTATAATTATAATTAAGCAATCATTTGAATAATTAGTTAATTTCTGTCATGTAATTACGCTTTTCTATTGTTTTTCTCTTCCTTTTTTTTGAACATTTGTTTTGTATAAAATATTTGACTGATTCTTATGTTTTTCCCGATTGCTATTATTTATTGAGTTCTCCCTTTTAACTCAATTGTATGTTATGTTATAAATGATCTAACATTTGGTTTAATTTTTGTATATACTCTCTAAAAGTCAAAATTACATTTAATTTATTGATTGAATGACAAAATATGTATTAAAGCGAACATTGGTTTCAAAAATGTTTCTACCAAAATGTCAAACATGTTTTTTAAAATTAAAAACATAATAAATATCAAAATCTATAGAGAAATCTGTAAAGACATGTCAAAAGGTTTCTTAAATAACAATTTATTTTTCATTAGGCTTTCAATGTATTCATTCAATCGGTATTTAATGTATAGATTGAGAGCTAAATATGTTTAGAAAAAATATAATAAATTTTTATACCAAAAAACAATTGAATTTCTATTAAATACACAATTGGATTGACTTATATCTCCGATGGAAACACTGCTCAACTGATCCACAGGTGATGTTAAACTCAAGAATATTCATCACTTGATATAACTGTAAATAACAAACTTTTATTGGGCTATAAATGGACGTAATTGTTGTGTTGACACCATTTATAACAGTAAACATTGAAACATGTGATCGTTGTTTGCGTTCAAATCAATTGGACTTCAATTTAATTGTCGTTTAAAATGAGTTCAAAGTTATTGTTAAACAAACGATTGAATGTATGTTTGTTTGCGAAGACATGCTTAAGACACGAGACGATTGTCCGCAAGAATTGGTGCCGATTTATGGCGACAACGAGTTCATCGAAACCCTCTTCGCAATCATTGGCCGAAAGGGGTGTCGCAGCGCTTCCGTCGGGTCTTCAGCCGTTCGCACGACTCATGCGATTGGATAAGCCTTCGGGCGCGTGGCTCCTGATGTGGCCCGGCTTCTGGTCCGTCTCGTTGGCCACTCAGGCCTCGCACTTGCCATCGATGACCACTTTGGCCCTCTTCGGCGTCGGATCAGTGGTGATGAGAGGCGCCGGTTGTGTAGTGAATGACTTGTGGGACAAAGACTTTGACCGACGGGTGGAGCGGACGAAGAGTCGACCGCTCGCTAGCCGTGAGTTGACGCCAACCGATGCGGTGATGCTTTTGGGCGGACTGTCGGGCGTCGGACTCCTTATACTTCTCGAGTTTGACGTGAATAGTATTGTTTTGGGCGCGTCTTCGCTATCACTGGTCGCTATCTATCCGTCGATCAAACGGTTCAGTCATTGGCCGCAACTAATGCTGGGAATGACATTCAATTGGGGGGCACTCCTGGGCTGGTCTGTGGTCTGCGACGGCGCCGTCGACTGGACAGCAGTCCTACCGCTGTATGTGTCGGGCATTTGTTGGACATTGATTTACGACACGATATACGCCCATCAGGACAAAGCCGACGACCTTATGATTGGCCTCAAATCCACAGCCATTAAGTTTGGCGACCAAACGAAGCAATGGTTGTCCGGCTTTTCATTGCTCATGTGCTCTAGTCTTGTGATAACCGGTGTTAATACGGGTCAGTGTTGGCCATACTATACGGCGGTGACGATAACGGCCGCCAATTTGATTCATCAAATCTCTACACTTAATATCAATGATTCGGACGACTGTTGGCGTAAATTCAAGCAAAACACACAAATCGGTTGGATTTTGTTTATAGGAATCGTTTTAAGCACTTATCTTAAGAACAGACCAAATAGTGATCAAAGAGACAATTTCAAAGTGATTAGTGATAACAGTAAACAACCATTGAGTTTGAGTTTATAATAATGTTTGCTTTGTTTTATAGTTTAGTTAAAAAGTTTTTAATCATTAAAAAATCCTTTTCATAATACGTTTACAAAATTCGTTTTAAAACAAGTAAAATGTATTAAACTTTTTAAATTAATTATAACTTTAAATATAATTAGAAATGTATTTATCTGTATATGAATTGCACAATAAGTTAGGGCTTTAAATAGTATAATACTTTCTATGAGTTCACTAATGCTAACTATACGTAAATTGTATTTGTAATAACTTTCATCACCGATACGTTTTGACAACACATTTAAAAATTATGTTTTCTGTTTTGTTCACATTTTGTTCACCTTTTCGTTACATTTCCCCGAAAAACAAACAAAAAGACAAACGAATTATAATGTGATTCGTTTGCAAAAATATGATAAAAGTACTGTATATTGAAAATTTCGTGCGGTTTCCGAACTAATTGAATGGTATTTCAAGATTTGAGCGCAAAATATATATAGTCTTTGAATATCATTCCGAAGCAAAAACAACAATAACTTAAACAATAAAATTGTGATAATTATATAACATAAAGGATATAATGATTGGCACAGAAAAACGCTTTCTTTGTTTCCATTCGCAAACGTTTTCATTTGTTTTTTGTTTGAACTCTAATTACGATTTGAGTTCCGATTGGTTTTGAGCTGAAGTCGGATCCGAATACTCGAGAATAAAGTGCTCGTAGGAAATGGCAGATAATTCGCGAACAAATTCCTCGAATACGATGGTCGCTAAGACTATCTTCTGGATCCTTTCCCTTTCTTCGACTTCGTTGGCATCCAATGCCTGTTCCGGCGAATCAAATGGCTTGAAATATCTGTCAATTGATGCAACAATTGGTATAAATTTACGCGTTTATAATGAGAGACAATATTGAATAGACTGCAAACCTATATCCTTGTCCTCCAGAGACGGATTCGAGAACTGGTGGCGGAGGAAGCGGTTGGACAGACATAGAAGTGCTTCGACGCATATTTTTTGGAGTCGATCGGAACAGACGCTCCTTAAGGCTATTGAATCCTTTCTTTAACACTAAAAACACATGTATTTTAATTACAAATTTAAATGCAATTCAGTGTTGAATCATACCTTCAGTTCCACTCTCGGATCTAATGGACGCTAAACTTGTAATACTATTACTACGAGAAGGTCTGGAGTTATAATGAAAATTATTGTCAATTTGTGGCAAAAAGCTTTGCTTTCGGTTTAACATTCTGTTCTCACGAGCGAACAGAAAATGTCTGGCATTTCGAAGCAATTCATCAAAATTTTCAATGTCTTCCGACAATTGATCTAATTTTTTGCGTAATTCGTTGAGAAGTGTTATCAAAGACTTGACATCTTTCTGGAAGACGAGCGATGGGTTCAGGAGATAAGAGCGGAGCAATGGCTGCGGATATGCGGCCAAACGGGCCAACAAACCGGTCAATTGAAGGTTCGTATAGACATCGTTCTCGCAGATCGCTTCCAATCGGGACATAATTATCTCCAGAAACGGACCGATGGGTGAACAACATTCTTCGTCTTCCTCTTCGTAATGATTTCCATTGGAAGTCATGGAATGAGGCACTGATTGGCTGTTATTATTATTATTGTTAACGTTATCATTATTGATACTATTATTGGCACAAACGTTGTTTGCATTTGAATTAATCTTCTTATTATTAGTGTTATTATTATTATTATTACAATTAACAAGATTTGAATCTAACAAATAATTAGGACTTTTATGACTATTGGCGTCATATTTGCAACTCCAGGAACGGGTGGCGCGAATGGACTTCGATATAACAATGTTTGCATCCCTTAAATAATCCAAATAATTAAATAATATGTAATGCAGTTCTTGTGTTGAGATGTTGTTGTGGTCAACGCTGTCGGCGCTGTTCTGCGACGACGAGTCGTTGTTCTCGAGGAATACATAACCATCTGATTTGGCGTTTTTGTTCATGTAATTCAAGTGCGATGACAGACAATGCTTTGGGATCAGAGTAAACAGATGTCGGGCCGATTCATTCAGATAATTAGAATCGTTTATTCTCTGCATTTGGTGTTGTTTACCACCGATTATATGTTTTCCGGACGTTAAGTATCTGAAAGAGTGGTTACAATTAAAAAGGATAGAAAAATAAAGTAATGTATGACAAATAAAAGTGATATTTGACTTAATTAATTCAAATTATACTCAATTCAATGAATACTAACTTCAAAACCAATTCCAATAACACGTCCTCGCAGTTCAAGTCCATTAAAGAACGAAACAAAACCAAAGTAACTAAACTTAACTGAAATTAATTTTAAGGTTAGAATCTCTTCATTGAATTCAATTCAATAATAAATACCTTTGAATTGGCGCTAATTCTGGTGATCAAAGTGCTCAGAATCCTCTGCTCTTCGTATTTCTCAATGCAAATGAATTTTAAAAATACTTTCAATAGATTTGGTTCAGAAATTGTGCGAATGAAGAGATCAAAGTAAGCGGTGGTCGCTATTATCTCCTCCAATGTGTTCTGTTTTCATGTAATTGAATCAACAAATTAATTAATTTACTAATCGATACATTCATATCAAATTAATAATCGTTAATGATTTAGTCATTCATTTAAAGAATAAATATTAAAATGTTTATTAAACCAATTATTTGTTATGAAATTAATTGTGTTGTGAGAAGACATGCAGAAAACCAAAAGACCAAAAAGTGAATTAAAAGACGTGCAAATCATGCAAAAAGCAATACATGTATAGTGAATACAAACCGAATATCTTGATAACCTTTCCAATAGGATTATGGGAACGCCGACCACTTCCTGTTCATTGCATACATGTATAGCGACACAAACGGACACAGAAAATATCTCTTCATTGAATTCAATTCAATAATAAATACCTTTGAATTGGCGCTAATTCTGGTGATCAAAGTGCTCAGAATCCTCTGCTCTTCGTATTTCTCAATGCAAATGAATTTTAAAAATACTTTCAAAAGATTTGGTTCAGAAATTGTGCGAATGAAGAGATCAAAGTAAGCGGTGGTCGCTATTATCTCCTCCAATGTGTTCTGTTTTCATGTAATTTTATTAACAAATTAATTAATTTACTAATCAATACATTCATATCAGATTAATAATCGTTAATCATTTAGTCATTCATTTAAAAAATAAATATTAAAATGTTTATTAAACCAATTATTTGTTATTAAATTAATTGTTTTGTGCGAAGACATGCAGAAAACCAAAGACCAAAAAATGAATTAAAAGACGTGCAAAAGACGTGCAAATCATGCAAAAAAGCAATACATGTATAGTGAATACAAACCGAATATCTTGATAACCTTTCCAATAGGATTATGGGAACGCCGACCACTTCCTGTTCATTGCATACATGTATAGCGACACAAACGGACACAGAAAACAACATTACATTATCTTTATTGACACTCTTTTCTTATATACCTTTAATTTTTATCAATACTTTTGTCTCTGTTATCAGATTTAAGCGAATAATATATACGGTAAACATAGAGAGCGATCGCATACCTGATGTAACGCCGGGCCGATCACAGGCACCAGAAAACCATTGTATATGTATTGAAGTAATTGCTTTTGAATGAATGGATGGGCTATTTGTGCGACAGCGTTGCAAAACTCCAACGAGTTTAAGAACACTTCCAGCTCGTGATTCTCCTGAATGTCTTCATTAGTGATCTGATGCCAATCGTCCGATACTATTGAATGAGTTAACAGCCGTCGAGGTAGTGATGAATACAATCCGCTCAAACCGGTGGCCAAAACTGGGCAAAAGTCGGTCTCTTCGGCCACGAATTTGCCCATCAATTCGTTGCGTCGCGTGAATGCCATACACAGAAGAATGGCATCTCTGGCCTGTTGTCCGACGGGTCCGTCCCTATGAACGTATGGTATGAGTAACGAGAAGATCAGGAATTTTGTCTCCATATGACTAGCGATCAGTGGCTCCGACAGGAAGAACAGCTCCAATAGGTTTAGGTTTTGACTCAAAGACACGAATAGTGAGTTGAGAAGTACGACGAGTCTCTTCTCGACCTCCAATTGACACGTTTTGTCCACAAATCGGCACAAAAGGCCCAGAAGTGGACGAATGAGTTGCTGCTGGAAGAGTGCGGTGTTGTGGCAGATCTGACTGATGAGCATTTCATAGAGCTTGAGCTGTTCCAGTGTCATCACTTCGTACCACTCGCCACACATCTCAGACCAACTCAACACTTTCTCCAGAACTGATTCCATCAGCAGATATTCCAACAGTGGACTCATTGCGCCCGAGTCTGTGGCCGACAACGGCTTGGGTCGCGACGCGAAACACATGGAGTCGTTCTCCTGAAGCAATAGTGTCAGCATTTGGTCGATATGATTGACCACCGATGAGATGTCATCCACAGTGATATCGTTCATCACTTTGCGAGACATGATATCGAAGGCCTGCGACCAATGGGTGCGGAATGAGTCCAAAGCGGCCGAAGTGTCGATCTGTTCCCGAACTGATTCAGTCATCACATGATTGTTGCCATTATTAGTGGCAAACAATTTCGTCAGTTTACGAAACAATGGCTTTCGTTCAGCCATTATGTCGTGTCTTATCCCTCACCCGAAAGTGTGGTCAAAAGCGGTGATCGTTGTGTGTCTTCGTGTGGCAAATGTGTCATCAAAATCGGGAGTTAAAGGGATTTCAAGTGAAAGCAATGAATGAGTCAATTAGTGAACGCTTTTTGATTGTTATTTACCTGCGATTGTGTTTGACTTAAACCACGGATGAGATAACGATTCCTATAGTGACCGAAGATATCGCTAATAGTTTTGTTCAAAACATTTACACCTTTTTATTAGAAAAATATATATTTGTTTCATATTTATTATGATTTGCTTTTGTTTTCATTATTCACAACAAAATACTAACAAAAAAGTAGTGTTTATTATGTATGGGATGTCAAGAGTGGAGCTTATTATCGCTCATACACTCAAACCCCGTTATTGGTTACGCCTGGTGTTTGGCTGTAGTTTTATGATTGATAACTAGATAATGATTGTCATTAATTAATGGCAATTAATTGGCGTTAATATAAGTTATTAAATGTGTGGCAAACTGTGTCTGAGATGAATGGCATTGATATAACGATAAGTCGATGTCTACTGTATTGGTGTCAGTGTTGAGCAATACATTCATTGAATTCCTGAATAACGTTACGGTTGTGTATAAAAAGCCCCCAAAATGTATAGCAAATCCACGTATGGGTTGTGTTGTAATGAATTGGCAAAACTTTTTTAATTACTGCCAGAATATGGTTAAAATGTGCAAATATAGCCGTTTAACAGGCATTTAATTGTACATGATTACACTTTTAGCCATTTTTACAGTGCAATTACACTGTATTTAGTGTTGTTTAGGTGTTTTTGGCACTGAATTATTGATATGTAATGTAAATTTGTTTAATGTATGTTTAAATATACAATCATTTAAATATTGCTGTTATAATGATTTGGATATTTTTGTTGTTGAGTTTTATTTTATTTATTGTAAATATAGATATATAATTACCGGTAATTTATTAACACTTAATATTTAATGCATTGAATAAATTAGGCTCTAAAACAACTATTGATATATAAGTTTGCTTTCTATTAATTCTTGCGAAAATATATTCAGTAATTATAGTTTCAATCGTTATTATTATTGATATATTATATTTGTTTTATTATCTTTGATGACAATATTTCATTAATGCACTGCAATTACTGTATCTTTGAGAGAGAATGAGAAAGAAAGAAAGAAAGAAAGAAAGAGAGAGAGAGAGAGATATCTCTTAAATTATATTTCAAGACTTCAATTATCTTTCATAAACCGAATGAGT